TCGTGAGATGGCAATGTGAGCCCGCGCTCGCTCTGCTGGCTCGGCTCTGCCACGCATTTATCGTGTAAAAATAAATGCTATTTTTCTACGTTTAATTGTCTGGTTGTTTGTTGTTTTTAGACACGAAGTTGTCTTCTAGTATCGTTTTACCCCGATAGTCAATTGTTTTATATGGCCCTTTATGGGAAAAAAAAATTCCTTCCGACGATTTCCTTAATTTTTTTTTAAAGTAAAGAATTTTTACATACAACGTGGTACGCAAAATTTAGAAAAAATTTACGAGACCGTTTTTTTTAAAATTAAAGTTAAAGTTCCTGTTACTATGGTAATACTCGGCTCGTCAAGAGGGAGATGGAAATACTTTTACATGCAACAAGTGGGCCGAGCCGAGCCAATCCAGAGGAAAAAAGACACCTCTAAAGTCTGCGTTCAAACAATCCCTTCCTTTGCTACAATGCACAGAACTAGGATAACACTACTTTTTTTCGAACGCCACCACCTTACCGCCTTCTCACAATATTCCTATTTTCACCACTAATTCTAAATAAAACAAGCAAATCATCAACAACATTTTATCCGGGTTTTCCGAAAGAGCACACTTCCTTTACTATAGTAAGGAAACAGACACGAATGACAATAATCATATTCGAACGCCACCACCTTACCGCCTTCTTATAAAGACTTTCATTTCAATCGTACACGCAAGGGTAGACCATCGACGCCATTTTCATAGAGCTTGGAGTCAAATTTATTGGTCTTATTTAATAATTCCTGATTTGAACCACATATAAATACAGCCCATTAACTGCAATATGGTATATACTACTTGTGTTGTTCCTGGTTGCACAAGTAAACCAGACACAGGTATAGTATTCAAATTCAAAAATTGGCCCAAAAACCAGATCCTTTCTGTGCAATGGCAGGAATATTTACCACAAATTCTAACGCTAACGCGTTAACGGCCCCATAGATTTTAATTTTTACGTCGGAATAGTCAAAATATTCTATTCAATATTAGATGTTGTCATAACTAATAAATGATATGATATTTATTTTTAGTTATGGTTGGTTGTACTAATTGGCTTCGCATACGTTTTGCTTACTATGAAATAATATTATTAGAAGCAAAATAGATCTACAGTTGAGGTTTATGAAACATAGTTTTCTTTTAAATATTCCTGGGAGCCGCACCCCAGCTGCAAAGGGCGACAGGTTGGCAGCATTGTTAGCCACCGCGCCTTCTTTTAAATGCGATTTGGAAGTCAGAAATACAGTCTTCGCTAACAATGCCTATCGTCGACTGATGCTGACTGGTCACGTTCGAAACAGCGTTTATGCTGCACCTTTTTACACGGCGGCAACTTGTTATTATTCAAACGCGACCACTGAAAGTAGGGAGTATCGACGCCAGGCTCATATGATTTTTGGATAGGGTTGTACAAAGCAACAGGCGATCGTTTCTATTGGTCAAACTTTCCCGCGGAAATTTGTGATTGGCTGAAATTTCCCTGGCTCGACTCGGCCTGCTGCTCAGCTCGTCGTTCCCATGGAAACTTGTGGATGCAAACTCAAATTTATCAAATTTCATCAGACAAAATTATAGCAAGTACCTTTGTTGTCTGTCAAAATTTACTAAAAACTACCTCCGTTGTCTTCCACTCTCACGCGTTACAAGAACAGGGAATGACCTAAACGAATGAGTAACCACAACAACCAGACAAAACACTACAGAACATTCACATTCACATTTAAATACATATTGAAGAACTGAAACACGTGAGATTATTACTTTCAATAAGAAAATCTTTCTACGACACATTAGTTGCTTACACTTCTCTGCTTTGAAATAAACTATTGCATAACAATTACAGCTACTTTTTTAGAACGTTTCAAATTCATTTCTAACGATAAACTACCTTCTTGTCTACCACGATTTGACAGAATCGTATTTTTTTGTAATATTTTTTCGTTAGACACGGAAAGTGTAGCCCGAGCTGCACTCGGGGCCTCCAATTTCCTCGAGTGCCGTCATTACTTTTGCTTTGTGTGGCCGCGCACGTCGCGGCCCGCCAGGCTCCGCCAGACCCCGCTCTGCCGGACTCAGCGCGGTCCCTCGGGGGCGGCGGACCCGGCCGGCCGGCGGCGGGCGGCAAGGCGTCGTGGATGCGTCAGCAACATGTCTTACTCTCAGAGGCTTTATTTCCTTTCTCTTCCGAGTCCACATTCCTCTCGCCTCAGTGCCCCGACATCTTTCTGTACTTATAAAGGCGAGACCGGAGGGCGGAGTGCCATACCTTCTCACTCACACCCTCCCCGTCTCGCCCCTTTTCCCTCGCACCAGTCCTATTGAAGGCTAAGTCCGCCTCTCGCTTTGACGTGTTTTTTTCCACCCTGATGACTTATTTTCGTCGCTCTGCATGTCGCCCGTGCTCTGTCGGAGTAACCTCTGTGTCTGCTGTACCCATGAAAAAAGCAGGAGTCTGTAAATCACAATCACCGAAAAAAGGACGAACGTGACGTACTCACGTAGCCCAAACATGTGTTTGCTTTATCGCCAAGTTGATAACTTTCAGATATGGGGATTGGCAGAAAAAGGACGACCACATAAAGGACAAGTGTCACAATATAGCATCGAAAACTCGGTGAGCGGCCGAGCACTGACCTCTCCACACATGAGTCGAGTTTCTTGGCATACATCACAGTCTTGCTTAAACGTCTTATCGTAAATTCTGCCTCTTGGAGTTACCTGTATATATAGACTAACGGACAATAGAGTGCATCACCAAATGCTTAATTTCATAAGTAGTTTTGCACTTGGCGTGGCGTTTTTTTTAGAGATGCCAGATCAAAGAATTAGTTCATTACCAACCGGCCAGTAAATGGCTCTAAGGTTTCCTTTCGCCTTGCTGCTCGCCGGACTTTCGCTGACTGTCCCGTTTCGCCCTTCTCACGCAGACGCACCTCACCCTTAGACAACCGCGGCCCGCGGCTCACTGGCCGTGACCCGTGCCTCCACTCTACGCCACACTCGCAATGCCTTCCGGCCCTAAAAGGAATTTGAATCCCCGACTCCTGACGCCCTCGGCGGGATCAGAATCCGTCCGTATCCGACTTTATCTCCAAAGCAATACACGTCCGTCTCTTTGACGATTGCTCTCATTACTCAGCATGCACAAACGTATATTTCTCTCTTCTCCCGTCTCTTCTCCTTTTCCAGTAACTTTTCCCTATACTTTTGCTCCGGGGTTGGGACCAAAACGCCAACGCCAGTGCAAGGATCGAGAGAACGAAAAAACCTTAAAGGAACTTGCGATCAAAGGAAACTCCCGCCGACAGTGCTCGCACCTTCGACATCCGGCACACGACAGTGTGTTATTTTTTATACGCATTTTTTTCCACGCTTTGCATTGTTTGTGGAAACATCACTCACACTTTCCCAGTTTCTCCTCGCCTCAATGCTCTGCCCCCGGGCGCCACCACGGCTGCCGCGTGCTTTCGCTGCGGGCGGCGGTAGTATTTCAAAATCTGACCTCTCCCCGACATTCCTCTGGGTGGCTGGGGGGTGAGACCTCCACTCCTCGCCGCTCACCTGGCACCAATTCTGCATCCGGGATTCCGAGGCTCCCTGCCGCGTGCCGGCGCTGCTTTACCTCCCTTGGCTTTATTGCCTCGCTTGCAGAGTACCATCAATGATGATGTAATCTTGAAAACTCTGCATCCACTTTGAAAAACAAAAGTAGGACTTAATACTTTTCTAGGGGTGTTAAATTTTAATGCCTTTGCAAGCAGGGCACAAAAGTTTCCAAATGCATTAAATGTTGGCCAGTTTTAATGCATTTGCAGGGGTGTTAATGTTTAAAGCCTTTGTAAAGTCATTAAAAGCCTTCGAGTCCTACCTTTGTTTTTCTAGTGTCGTTTTTCTTTCCGGATGAATAGTACGCGTGATCCAAAGGACCAACCCGAAAATAACCGGCAAAATCTCTTTTTACTTTTTTTCCTTTATTTTTTTGACGGGGCAAAGCCTTTAATGACAACGCAATGTAGCCTATTTTTATTTTCCGAAAAAGTTCAAGTAGGATCTGATTGAGTCTGAGCTATCTGGAGTGGCTAGTGGCTGGTGTGACATTTTCATTACTCTCACATCACTGGGCGTGTAGCAGTCAGCCCATTAGAAATCGCGATGAGTGCCCAGTGTGCACGAATAGATGGGATGTCTGGTTCACTAAAAATATTGAGAAGTATGTCAGTTATATTAATTTCCCGATGTCCTTTTCCCAATATTTTGTGCTTTCCCTCCCCCTCCTCCCTCACTCTAACCCTTCTCTTATCAGACCGGTTGGTTCGCCGAAACTCTTCCATTCGAAGCCACTTTCCATTTTCTAGCGAGACGAGTTGATTCCCCCCGCCTGGTGGTGGCGCTGCTGGTCCCGCGGGTACCTCGAAATAGATGCCACCCTCAGTAATAGAAAGTGGTTAATGAATATTGAACATTTCTCTCCCTTACTCGTCCCCTGCCGCGCCGCCGCCGCATTCTGAGAGGAGAGGGGATCCTCGTCTCTCCTCATTCTGTTCCTCTCTCTCTCTCTCTCTCTCTCTCTCTCTCTCTCTCTCTCTCTCTCTCTGCTGATCTAGCTCGGCGCTGCTATGCGAGGCAGGGGTGGGTTAGGGGTGCCTGCCTGCCTGCAGTGGATTCGTGTCAGAAGTTTCCAGGCGAGTCAACAAAAACGTCTTCGCGTAGAATCTCGCACGAATGAGGGATCTGAGTCGACCGGCTGGACTTTCGTATGGAGAAGAGTAGTTTTCTCCTTTCCCTTCCCTCCTGTCCTATTCCTCTCTCTGTGTCTCTTCTGTGCCCTGTTGCCTTTTCGCTTCCTCTTGTTATACCAGCATTTTCTCACATCTCCTTCTGTTCCTGCCCCGCAGAGAAGCCTCTAATAATAAATATTAATTTGTTTTCTGCTGGAAATTAACAGAATGTGTTGTATTTTCTGTGTCTGCAGGCTGCCTCTGCCTCAAGATGGTCGAGGTGAAGATCCCGCCGCACACGATCCGAACGCACCCGGTGACGCTCGAGTGCAACTACGACCTGCAGGGAGAGGCCTTGTACTCTGTGAAGTGGTACAAGGACGGCCGTGAGTTCTACCGATACGTGCCTGGCGACCTGCCCAACGCGCAGGTGTTCGACCTGGCTGGCGTCTACGTGGACGTAAGTCGACTTAATTTCAAATACAATTTAAAAAAAGAATTGTTACAACTTTATTAAAACATACTCGATCATGTTAGACGTCGCAAAGAAACAGTTTACGTCGCAAGTTTTATTTGTCTAGAATAAGTAAACAATACTAGTTCCAGGATACTAGCATACTTTTACTAGTGTAAGTATAATTTACTAGAAAGTACAAATACTCCAAAGGAAAGAGCAGATAGATACAAAAGTGGGAGGAGAAGAAAGAGGGAGGGCGATTTTTGCGCTCTTGAAAATTGAAATTTAAATAAACCAATTGGGGGTAAAAGTCTCTCCTGTATGTAGCGGGTGAAGAGGTGGGTGGAGCGGGGGTGGTGAGAGGCAGTAGGAAGGGGGGGAGGTTTAGCCGCAGCCCGGATTTCACCTGTAAATTTTTCATAGCTGGGGCCGCTGTTCTTTGAATAGCCGCTGCCAGCGCGGGCCATGAAATAATAAGGGGCATCTGAGTGGACCGGTGCGCCGCGGTGCTGGTGGGGGAGGGGAAGGGCCGGCACCAGCAGCAGCAGCGCTAAGTGTGCTTTGTCTGACCCACTGAGACCGGCCGGCTGGGTCGGGCAAGGCTGGGCAGGGCAAGGTTGGGCGGGGTGATCCGAAGAAAGAGATGATTGTCGACCAGCGCGCGCGGCCGTGGTATTGTCCGCCCGCGGTCGGTCTGGCGGGGCGTGCTCTCGCGCTCACGGCCCTGCCCTGCCTTTCACAACGGTGAGATTGGCACAGGTATACTCTCGCGCGTAGCGGGCTCTGGGCCACGCCGGATTTTAAAAGAAAAAGCGCGTCGTCAAAACTTTGTTTTAAACATATTTTTTGGCTGCCTGTTGTCACCTATATAAAGCACAAGTCTTTACGGTCTTTGCGATAATCGAGTTAGGAAAGAAAATCAGATCGGGTCCAGTGTACGGTACGGCCGGCCGCCATTTCCCGTTCCGTTTCCCCGGATCGGTCGTAACAAACCGCCTGTGCTGTAAATGCCGCCCGGGCCGCCGGGCTCTGCTTGGCATCGACGTCCTGTCCGCACCAATGAGATGCCGACAGCGCCCCGCCCCGCCCCGCCACACTTTTATCGCAGAAAAGGACCCCCGTGAGAGCTGCTGGGCCGCACCTGGTCCCGACAGGCTTATGGCGTATGATTGACTCGACAAAAACACGCGCGGCTTATTTTAGTGCCCCGCCCCCTCC